TTTTATTATTATTACTTAAAGTTTTAAAAAGGAACGTTCAGCTACTTTAATATTTTTAGAGAATTAGTTAAAAAAGACGATTCCCCGCCAGGCAAGAGTTTCAAGATGTCTGCGTCCGCTGGAATAATAATGACCTCTGTCTTCTATGATGCAGGAGGTATAATTGGATGTATTATAGTATTCCAGGGGTATAAAAATGATCTAATAATCAGAGATTATTACGTATCAAAAATCAAAAAACTACGCGAACAACTAAAGAATAAACGTCGAGGAAAATTGCGTGCTGGAGTGCTTGTTCATCATGATAATGCCCCTGCCCATCGATGATGGTGTGAATTGCTGGGTTTCAGTTGATGCAGCACTCATCATATAATCAGACCTATAATTCCGAGTGATTTTCACCTTTTTACTGACCTGAAAATGCACTTGCGTGGTGTAAAATTCGACGGCGACGATGAGGTGGTGTGTGGCCTTTTTCGAGACTCAGGATCAAGCGTCTTTTTCTAATGAAATTAACCAACTTGCAAAACGCTATTTAAGGCGTATTAGCTTAAAAGGCGATGACGTTAATAGAAATGATTATAATTTACATATACATATCCAAGTTTGATTGCGTTTCCAAAAAATTATCAACCAGTAAAAACATCTTTAACTATAATATCATAGTATTTCCACAACAATGTTTCTAGTGTTAGTAGGTACTGCCAAATGACGGTCACCAGCGTAGTCCACGTAAGTGATTCTATCATTCGTCAGATATGTTTAGGAAACTTTTAAAGATAACTTTAATTTTCTATTGTATCGCATCTGGTTGGGACACATCAATACAAGTATTTATTATTATTAAAATAAACTTTATCTAAATAATTTATCGATTCAATGTTTAAGATATAGTAACACTAAAATAGCCTATCAATCTATTCGTATTCCCCCATAGACTTTTAGTCTTGTATAGACGGCTAACATCGTCGCAATGCAGAAAACGTAGTAATTCCTGCAATTAATTAGGAGAACCTGTATGATTTGTTATTTTAAAACATTTAAAGATGATACAAATTAATTACCTATGATCCGTGTAAAGAATTAAAATGACGTGCATACCTTTTGAATGAAATTAGTTTAACGCGTTTTTAAATTAGCGGTCAGCCAATGCAGTCTACTCCACCTGAGAATGCATTGTGTAGAGTAGACTGTGGAGGCGAAACACGTGTCGTATCATCGACGATGGTGTGTCCTTCCTAGTAGACATGTGTCAATCATTCATTTCTCGTGACCGAATCATTCAAGTACATTTCGTCAAGCGTACCGGTACATTAGGATCGATCACTCAAATGGATTATTTCGGGTTCTTGTACTCTGTAAGTCTGAGATCCATTGGGAACCGTAAATTTTCTATCTGACTTTGTAATAGCGCAATCTACTACACACTATATATAGGTAATAATGTCATTTTATAGAACAATATTAAACACAAAAAAAAAACACAAAATCTGTTCCATCAATTGTTTGTGATTGGTTATACCGGATCATTCTAAAACTGAAAAATTAACCATCAATACTGTTAAGTGTACCAGCTTAAAAGAACGAATCATTCATGATTGACACATGTCTAATGATTTCTTATATTTACGCGAACACTACATATTGAAATAATAATAGTTTTTACGGAATTTATCGCGTATATTTAACTTATCCGATCTATGAATAACTGCATAGATCGGAACAAAAGTTAAAAATTTTAATCTATGGTAACCGCGGTTAACTATGACATATGGACGTTGAACATCTCAGTCCCGCCCGTGACCATGAGTGCTGTAAAGCTTTCGAAACGTCGGGTATTTAAAAAGTTAAATATACGCGATAAATTCCGTAAAAACTAGTATTATTTCAATGACACATGTCTATTTCCTAGTGTCCACTACACTAGGAAATAGTGTTGGCAGTAGTGGTGCTGGGATTAGTGACGACGGGGATAGTGCACGCAATTGAGGGAAAGCGGGAGGTGCAGTTCTTCAAAGTAGGTACGACACGTCATTTTATTTTGTAGCGCGGATCTTAAATAATTAACTATTAACATCTTTAATATACCAGAATACTGCAAGGTAACGCCTGCCTGTATTAATTATTTAATAACATGCCTTAAATAGAAGGCATAGTAACAGTGCAATAAAAATCAAACAAAGTAAAGCTCCCAACGTCTGTTTATCATTCCCGAAGGCTTGATCGGCGGAAACGCCAGGGGTACGCTGCGGGGCCGAAGCTTCTGGAATGCACCGCGCTTCCGGCGGCATCGCGCCACTATTTTTAAATGATTGCAACATAAAAACCAAAAACGACCTGTAATTGCGCAATTAACAACGCATATATTTCAATGTCGCCGGTAACTAGCGTCTGCAGCCATTTGATCTATTTTAACATCATGCACGATGCGCAGGAGATATAGCTTCCTTTGGTATTGGACGTTTTACAATGTTATTACGGGCAAGTAATTGCTTCTGAAATATTTTTATCTCAAGAGGAAGCTGTTTATAGACAATAATACTCATTTTTTTTACTATTCTACGCCATTTGATGGTAAGTGGTAAAGTTGCTTAAGTTGGTGAAGCGCACTAACCTAACAAAAACCAAACTACTCTTGCCTTGAAGACACCCACACTTTAATCGGATGTAAAGACAGATGCTGGCAACATTGTTCCACTTCTTTGTTGTACGCGTGACGAACGATGTAGCAAAACTTTAAATGTTTTAACAATAAATTTTACCTTCCCACGAGTTGCTTCGATCGTATTAGAGTATAAAATAACTCAATTTTACAAAAATATCGTTTTTATAGGATAGGGTAACAAACGGGCACACAATCCACCTGATGGTAAGTGGTTGCTGTGGCCCATAGACATCTACATCGATCCTGACTGCCTTGTTGGTCTAATGATTGTAGTAGTGCGACTGCTGATCATGAGGTCCTGGGTTCAAATCCCGAGTCGGGCCAATAAATTAATTATTGAGTTTTTCCGTCAAGAAATTCTCAGTAGTTACCCCGGAGTCAGTAAGTTGGCGGTGTCTCACCCCCGTGCCTCGGAAAGAACGTAAAGCCGTTAGTCCTGCACCTGATCTCTCTCCGGTCGTGTCGGTTTACCGTCCCATCGGACTATGAGAGTGAGGGAAAAGAGAGTGCACCTGCGCATACACTTGGACACTCTAATCCTGTCCTGCGTCGATGGCTAGCCTCCGTTGAGGCAGGCCGCCGTGGCCGAAATCCGGTCTGGAGGACGATATTATCATCCTCGATTACGAATCAAAATTCAGATGCGTTGTCACCCTTGAGGACTAAGATGGAATGCCTCGTTTTCAGTAAAAAGGGTCTCCGGTTCTCTACATTCACCATGCGAAACACAGCAGCATTAAGCTACTATTTCACGCTGGTATTCTGTGAGAGCGTGGTCCTTCCCCGATCGAGCCGACCCATTCGTGCTACAACTATACTACTAACTGCAGCATGGCTCTACCACGTATATAGAGAAGGAAATCAGGTAAATATTTCTAATGATAGACGAATTTACATCTTAGTCTTCAGGCGTGACAACTGACAACGTATCCGCATTGGAATTCGTAATTGAGGAAAGGTACGAGGACCGTCTATAGTTTTCCACACTGCTTCTATAAAAAAAGTTTTATTTTTAAACGTTCTATTAAAATGCAATACTAAGTATAAAATATGATGAGTTTTAATATTAGAAATCTTCATTAAGGGCAAACTACAGATAAGAGATAGTTTCGTGTTCACTGAGGCAAGGACGCACGAACGCACGCAAATAAACAAGCGTTTCAATACCGCACGTGAGAATGTCAAACACTGAGCACACCGTATGAAATTTCACGATTTATATCTCTTTAATTCCATTTAAATTGTTTTGTTTAATTATCAGATTCATCAAATAACATAAACTCTCACGTCTATTATCCACACGGGTGAACAGAGACTACGAGCTTTTATTTGACGTGATTCTCACATACCTCTCATCCATGCTTGTCAGTTATGGGTATCCTTACCTTGGCCCATCTTTAATATAACGCCAATTTTTTCAATAAAATTCGGTCTAGGGCGTGCCTTGCGGACTCTCACTTCTACTGAATAAATTTGCTATATCACACTCTATATGTTCAAACCACCTAAGTATTTTTTTTAATCCTGGTCTAAACATCTTCTTTCAAATCACACTTTTCATTCATAACCAGACATTAATTAATAACCACATTACTACAGCATTAATTTTACTCTCGTGCTTCTTCTGCCACACCCAACTTTCACTACCATACATTAAGGTAGGGACTAACACAGCATTGTGAATTGCATTACGTGCCTTTTTTGATACATTCTGACTTTCCACAATATAGTAGAGCTACATTTTAAGATTAATTGACTGCTTTATTCATAATTAGTATTGATAGTACAAATAGATTTAAATGTTGATTTTTTTAAAACTAAAGTTTATCGAGTTTATTATTAATTTCATCCCGTGAGAATGGCGGTGGGTACCTCGTTTATGTCGTCAAAGGTGTGAAGCATCTGGTACTGCGACTGCGACTGTAAATCTTCTTTCCTATCATGCGTGATGATCAACACTTATCCTCTTTATAATGGGAGAGGCCTGTCTAGCTCTGAACTTTTAAGAGCTATAAAAAGGAAAAGTACATACCCACATTTTTTATAGAATAAGGGTGACAAACGAGCACACAGCCCATCTGATGGTTAGTGGATGCTGTAGCCCATAGACATCTACATCTATCCTCGATAAACAATCCAAATGCAGGTGCGTTTTCGCGTCTGATGAAGATGTAATGCCTTCCATCTAGTAAACTTCCGTTCACTACACTGACCGTACGAAACACTGCAGCATGGTTGTAGCACGAAATCGTTAAATAGTAGCTTAACTACAACCATATTATAGCTGCAACGTGGCTCTATCAAGTATAAAAATAAAAGGGGGATTATCACTCACCGATTGCCAGTCCTCCTGTCTTTCGATCCTCGCCGGCTCCGTACGCTTGGCGAGTTCAGCGCGTCGTAGCTGTTCCCGGGCCTTGCTACCCAAGTCCGCCGGGCCCACTTTAACGAACTGCAGTGGGTTCGCTGCCGGCTTGCCGGGTATCACTGATGCGGTGTGTGGTCGCGTCGCGAGGAAGTCCGCGCTGTCGGTCGTCTGGAATTGGGATAAGTAATGAAGAATTTGTAGATGGCAACAAATCATTAAACTAAAGGTGACAAGTATAAGTTATGATATCAGAACGTTGTACAATACAGTCCCTTTATAAATCCATCTCATAGTAAGTTTTTTTTTCGATATTTTATGAAGTGGAAGCAGCGTAAATCCATTTTGTTTAAGTATACGAATGCAAGCGAGCACACAGTCCATCTGATAGTAAGTGGATGCTGCGGCCCGTAGACAACTGCATCTATCGATTTTCAATTAAGTATCAAAATGCAGATGCGTTGTCATCCCTTGGGCTAAGATGAAATGCCCCGTAACCAGTAAATAGAGTCTCTAGTTCTCTGCACTCACCTATTCTGTGAGAGCGTGGTCTCTGGTCGAGGCGACTCACAGCAGAGCCAGATCTGCTAAGTCGTAAGAGGCAAACATAAAAAATACCAAAAACATTCTAGTAGTAATACAACCGTTCTACTTTCGAAAATACCCAGAACTTAGTATTCTATAAGTTTGCAGACGTATAACCGTGTAGAGACGGTCCTATAATATCCACTTACACGTATCGTCAAATGTACGGAAGTCTGCTGTTGTCGCTAATTCGTACAACACGCGTTGCGATGCGGACAAAACAATAAGTTGATTAACAATACAACCAAACACTGACTCAATACGCGACGCTTTCCAACGTTATATAAAATCTCAGCACAATATTGTTAATTAATTCGACAGAGGATTAATTGCTATAATTACTATCCATCTTCGTTGCTTCAAAAGAGCGAATTTTTGTAGTGTGTACAGTACTGCCATACTAGTCATTTACCCCTTCTAATAATGAGCTGAATGAATTGCATAACTTAATTCCTTCCTCTTCCTTCCGCTATCCTACAACTGGACGCTCAGCCAGCCTCCACTCTTTCGTTGTCGATTTACCACGCATTCGAACCAAATGGCTTGCTACATAGTTCATCATGTGTATAGAAAAGGAGTGGAATAAGTTGCCAGCATCTTCTTTCCATCATCGTCTTTCCATCCGATTACAATGTGGATGTCTTCAAGGCAAGAGTGAATAGGCTTTTGTTAAGTCAGTGAGCTTCACCAACTTCGGCAGCATCGCCGCTTGAGATCATAATAGTCAAGCGCTGGCCTGAATTAGAAAAGAAAAGCTTCTATGTATTGAAATTTATATGGCTCACTGCAGATCGTGAACATCTAAAAACAATTAAACGCCACTATTCGTTTAAACTATAAAAAAATAGAAGAACGAAATAATTAAATTGTAACTAGCATCATTATGCCCGTCATTTAAAAAAACAATGTCTAAGATTAAAAATAATAATGTAATAGTTGGAGATTATTAATTATTAATAAAAATAATAATTAATAATCTCCAACTAACCTTGCTGCAACAATTACATCTATTTTTGCCGTTATATATTTTAAAATTAGATATCTACAATCTATTTTAGGACGAACATCTGGTTTCTAACGAGCTATTAACGTACATATTATCTACGGTTTGGTTATTACCAATCAACACCTCAAATGCTTCCTCCCTAATGCACGTACAGACACGTGTTTCCGACGCGAGACATCCTTTTATAACACTGGATGAGCCGTTTCTTAAATTAAACTTTTAACCCTATAGTTAAACGATTTTTATATTTAATTTGTTGCGAGCTTCGCATATACTGCTACTGATTTAGAAGCATTTGCCACACAACTCTTCATGTGGGGAGTTCCATCTTGTATCACAGAGACGACCATGAATCTGTGGCCTTCTTGTTTGAAGTTTTCCATGATTGCAGCTGTCCGTGTACAGCAGTACCCATTTAAAATCAGGTGGAGTTTTTATATAGAATAAGGGTGACAAACGAACACACAGCCCACCTGTGGGTAAGTGGATACCATGACCCATAGTCGTCTACATTTACCCTCGATTAAGATTCGAAATGAAGATCGTTGCCACACTGTAGGACTAGATTGAATGCCTCGTGTACAGTAAAAAGGGATCTCCCGTCCTTTACACTTAACATACGAAACACAGCAGCATTAACCAGCTATTTTACGCTGGTACATTGTGAGAGTGTAGTCCTTCCCCGGTCCGACACATTCGTGCTACGACCATAATATAGCTGCATGGCTCTACCACGCATTACTGTTAGTTTGTTTGTCACTTCCTTTATACAAAAAAGATGTACACCATCTGATTTGATGATTTTAAATGACGTTATCATGATTCTATCATCTTGAACAAGTAGTACGAAATATAACTAGTAAAGCATCGACTGCATAAAGAAATCTCCTAAAACTATCTAACAAAAGGTAAATACAAAGCAAATGTAGAGCGTACAATGACATAACAAACACAACCAAATTCCGGGCTGGGTATTACGCGCACCACAACGTCGTAACGAGCGGGCCGCAGCGAAGTCTAATTTATTCACTGCGAGAAAGCCGCCGAAATCTCACGAGCTACGCGACGCACTAAACTTAAGGCATATTATTAAACACTTTCACTTGAGGCGAATACGAAAAAGGTCCCACCACGGCAATTCCAGTCGATTTTTATATGAAAAAAAAAAACTTGCGGCAGACGTGTTTACCAACTTTCATGCAACCGTACTCGTAGATGAGCCGTTGTTATAACAGTACGGAAGCAACAAGGGTGCGATCGTAATTGGTACCAATGGATGTTGTAGATTGCATTTTTAAGTGGCGATTTACCTCGTTTTCAGCGACGAAGGAAAACATAGTGAGCATGCATGTCAGAGATCGAACGTTTTTCGAAGACAAGTGAGGTCCACCACTACGCATTGGGGCAGTCACTTCCTTGTCCTAAACCCTCTCAGAAATAAGAGGCGTCCTATGCCCAACAGTGAGACGTATACAGGCTGTAATTTTACTTTTACTTTACTATATAACTGATACATTAATATTAATTAAAATATAATTTTTCTTGTGCTGAGCGCGTGTTGGCCAAATGTGGGCGATATTAAACAATCCATTACACTAATAATCCCGTGGTTGTCCTAAGGACTCTGACAAACGCTAGGATTAGAAGGTTTACCATTAACAACAGTATAATTATTAGGTATGTATATGTCTTAAATCTACTATTTAGACCGGCCACCATAAACAGCGTCAGAGGTACGAGGTACCTATGTCTACGATCATCAATCCGCTAGCAAAATATATTTTTATTATAGAATAAGCACGCGAGAAGGAAGACCGTTAGAAAATTTCATGGGTTTTAATTTTTTTTGCGCGAAACCCTAATTCTTATTCTAAAATAAAAGTGGCCTAAGTTACTCCTAATAACAGCTAAAATCAAGTCCAGCCACTTCGGAGATTAGCCGAAACAAACAGACAGACAGACAGACAGACAGACATACCCGACAGATGGGCAAACAAAATTTATAAAAATTGTTTTATTTGTATATATATATATATATATATATATAATGTATGTATATATACTTTAGTAAATGGCTGTTATTTTGAAATTACAAACAGACAGTTCAATTTTATTTATTTGTCAACAATATTACTGCAACCCTTTGCAAGTCCACTGGTGAACATAGGCCTCCCCCAAGAAATGCCACAAAGCACGGTCCTGAGCCGCCTGAATCCACCGACTTTTTGCTTGTCTTACAAGGTCATCACTCCTTCTAGAGGGGTAGTAGTAATTTTTGATCAGTCAAACAAATTAAAAATTAAAAGTAAATGTAGGGCAACATTTACCACGACTGGCAGCGAGTCCACACTTTAACTGCTTTAAAGAAAACATCCAACATCCCTCAACGCATCTCGCCCACTTATTTCACAATCCAGCGTGACACAAATGTAATCTGACTCATTAAGAAGATCGATAACGGCGTCCCCGCAAACAAAGTTCAGACAACTGCATACGAAGCTATATTCGGAGCGCGCAATCCGCTCCACATTTCCGTATGGTATGCGGTTTAAAAATAGGCCCCCGGTTGAGTTTAGTACGCCGATCGACACTACTATCACTCGCTGGTTCTATTTCTGAACGAACAGTTACGTAATCGAGTGGTGCTGGCTGCTGGTGAACCGAGCGCTCGCACTGGGCCTCGAAGCAGAACTAACTTTCGCGGTTTTCCACCACGAGAGGGGAAAGTATCCTCACTTGAATTATAATTGCCTTGTTTTAAATGCAAAAACGTTTAGACGTATTAATTGATTTGGCGTGGCGCCGATAACTTGCCCCAGGGGTCCGTTAAGTGTTTAGTTTTTATTAGATAATTCTGTCTATAACTATGTATATTGGCCATACGGATTTCCTTCCGATCTCTGCTCTATAAATTGATTGCATCTGTTGAGGTCAATGCAGTTAACACTGATGAAAATAGTCATACAGAAAGGTCATACGAGTATACAAAAACTACATAGAAATTATTCAAGAATTTTTGCGTATTAGTTTTAAATGAGCTTTCACTTTCTTCTTCGTATTAAATATATTGCTAACGATTTATAGTTAACTACACATAAAGAGAAAGAGAGAGGAAGCACAGATAATGTCATAAAGAAAAATAATTTAGCTTAAATATCGTTTACAAGCCATGGTAGAAGTTTTGGCGGGAACTTGACTATCGGCGGATTGTTGTTCCTGTGTTAAAATACTGGTTTACAGTAGATTATGACGTAATTATGTGTATTAAATGTTTGCGCATATGCATTAGTGAAAACGATGAAACAAGTATTCAAAAGGTGATGTGAATCTTAAAATAAGTTCTAACTCAAGTTGCCATTATAATCTGTCAAAAGTGACACATAGTGTAACGCAACATAATATTGTGAAAAACTATTGAAACAAGTTAAAGTATTAAAGTTTAAAGAATTATATTAATTTGACACTGGCAAAAATACAACAGTACGAGTCCATTACAAAAAAAAAACAAGCCATGAAGTAGGAGTTTTGGCGGGAACTTGACCGTCCAAAATATTATTTGCTTCTGTTTTCTCGTTTGAAT